TAATAATAATAATAATAATAATAATAATAATAATAATAATAATAATAATAATAATAATGGGATCATAATATATTGCACTGATTGGAAAGTAATCGTAATTGGTAATTAATTAATGAATTATTGGGACGAAAAGAAATTTTCGAAAGAGCTGTTCTCAATTATTTGAATCATGAGGAAAGAGTCATGAGTGCCAGTCGTAAATTGCAAGTATTTTATTGTGACACGGAAAATAATGAGAGAAAGAAAATTTACTGTACCTCTGGTCACTATTGCTGTCCATTTGAAATTCAAATCGTCATCTGCGCTGTTTCACTTGAACTTATATCTATCGTAACCTCGAAGCAGTACAGAACCAAGTGACATTGAACCTACGAGGCACACGTTTTCATTTCGTTTCCTGGTAAATACACAAAGACGTGTGTTATGACCTCAACGAGGTCTGGCCCTGACTTCCGGTTTCCTGAGTTATTGGTTAACCCATAGCGAAATATTACTTCCCGGTGTTGATCGTTTATACATCAATCGAGCACCTTCAATGATTGTTATTGAATTATGAATAGCTTTCTGAGGATTCAATAGTCAAATTTTGTCAATTAGTCATTGAATTTGCGATTAATAAAGTCCTTTTACCGCACCCCGTGCGGAAAATACCGGATAACTCACGCTGTGGATTTATTCTCCGCTTTTTCAGGTCTTACAATAAAAGTTATTCCAATACACGTACGGAAAAGTATTTTTTCTAACACCTGGGAAAATTCATAGCGAGTTATATAATCCCGCGGGCGGAAAAGTATTTTACCGCACCCCGTGTGAAAATTATTGGATAACACACGCCTCGGATTCATGATTTTTTATCTGTCGACGTAACAAAATGAAAGTATTTTTCAATACATGTGAGGAAATGTGTTTTTTCCCTCCCGTGGGATAAAAATACCCTTTTGCGCACCGTGCGAAAAATCGCGGATAAATCACGCGGAAAAATTTCTTTTCGCTGTTAGGAGGTGAAGGGTAAGGGGAAAACCAATTCTTTGTGGATATATCGAACGATATTTTATTTTATAACATCGAAAAGGATTTCATTGGCCCGGGCCGACTTGTAATTCGAATCCGTCCGGTTTCTAACGGTTCGACAAATTATACCTCATGGCGATTTGTAGGGAAATCAGGAGTCGTCGCAGGATGGAGTGCTCTTGAGAATAAAAAAACATTTGTCCAACCTGATTATCATTTTTGCTTCTCAAATATTTCCAGTTTCTTCTAACACAAAGAATTTTAACGTAGAAATTTTATTTCCGTGTGTCAGTTCGAATCTATGAGAATTCCACGGTTTCTCCACAAGTCGTTAATTTTTATTACTGAAATTGTTTTACGATAAAATGAGGCGCCAATGCCCTGGAAAATGGTGGGGACTAAATACTCTGAATGGACGAAACTCAAGTTGGAAACACTAAACGTAAAAGGATCCAAGTGATAACGAGTTCAACGGAGTCTCCAAGAGACCTCCAGTTATCCTTGCCATTATCGCTTCCGGTGTCACTAAAAACCTTGAGAGTCGTTTCAAAAACAAGGGACAGAGCATCACCCTTGACTCGAAAATTCCTGTAAGAAATATGAGTCGAGAAATATATACACCGCTCGTGTAGTGGAGGAAATATATATATACAATAATATATAATACAACTAAAAAAATATTAAAAACGGAAAAATTGTGAATCAGTAATAATGCGACTTATTAATTATTAATTAATAATACAAATTACCCGGGTAAAAAAAAATGTAATCGGAACTTTTTTTTTTCAAATTTAAAAAAAAATCTGGAAAACTCTTAAAAAATTTTTTTTTATGAAACAAAAAAAAATCGGGAGACAAAACTTTTTTATTTTTGGGAAAGGGTTTGAAAATTTATTTTTTAATTTAAATAGGAAATTTATTTATAGGTTTTCTGAAGAATTCTTATTCGAGTGACTTGAATATAAATCTTCTGATGGTGAGAACGACTGAAATTGATCCTTCAGCCATATTCTTTCCCCTAGTATTTTTTTCCTCGTTTTTTCGAATTCATATTCACAATACGAATCGCAGATTAGTTGGGCACATCTGCGAGACACTTGGAGATGCTTCCACATGAGCACTCGCCATTTTGCTTTCTGCATGTGTCATCCAGACGTGAATTCAGGGATGAATAGAGGAAAAGGAAAAAA